CGGGGTTCTGAAAACGGGCCATGTCGACCTCCACCTTCTCGCAATGCCAGACGCGGCCTCGGACTGGGCATCCCCGTCAGCATCCTGCCGGGTGCCCCCAGTGCCCTGGCCCTGCCCGTCCTGTCGGGACGGCGGCCGCGGCTTCTCACACCAGTAGGATGCTTTCGTCGTGCCCAAAGAATCATCTGTATGGCACGCCTGACAGGCCCAGACATCGTACGACGTCCAGGGTATCCACGGCGGCGGTGGTACTATGAAGTTTGCCGCTCCCTGCGGCCCGGAAGTGAAAATGTCCTGGCACGAGGAGAACTGCTCGAGCCGAGCAATGGCCGAAGAGGGGGAGGAGGGGGTGGGAGACGCGGAGAGGAGGCGAAAGGTGAGTTTTTTCTTGGGGGGGGGGCCGGCGAGGAGGGTGAGGAGAGGGGGAGGAGGGAGAGGGCGGGGAGCACGAGGGGGCGGGGGGGAGGACACGGAGGGACAGAAGGGATCCCCCCGCGGACTGCATGCCCGCTGCGGAAGGCGGAGGAGGAAAAGGGATACGAGGGTGGACGCGTCGGGGAGGAGGGTGAGGGATGGGCGAAGACTCGCTCTCGCTCGCCCCCGAGCAAGAGCTGCCGGGCAGGGGGGGGGTCCAGGTGTTCCCCCCGTGGCCGCCTCGTGGGCGCCTCGTGCGCTGGCATGGGTTCCTTGGACCGTCGCCAGGTGGCCGCCCGTGGGCTCTTCGTGGGCGCCGCGTGCGACGGCTGCTCGTGGACGCCTCGCGTGCTGGCTGCACCGCACAGCCTGCACCGACACTGCCCGCGCCACACGGCCTGCACGGCAGGACCTGCACCACGCAGCTTGCGGGACGTGTACTGCAGCGCCCTGCGACCGCTCGGAAGTCCGCTCCGTATGCGTTTGTCGGTATCGTCCGCTGTACTGTTCGCGAGATTATCTCAGATGCCCCTCGATGGCTCTCCCCGAGGAAAAACTGCACACGTCCAAGCGATTCCAAGGCACATAGCGCTCACAGCACATATTGCACCACGTGATCTACACCACACTGCTTGCACCACATATACTGCGCCACGCAGCTTGCATCACACAGCCTGCCGCCCAACAAAAGTCGCACAACATAGTTCGAACCGCATAGTACCTCACATAACTTTCACATATCCAGAGTGCCATCCGCCGACCCCGGCTTGCCAGGGGTTATAGAGGGCGCGTGAGACACAGGGCTCGAGCTAAACAGTGTGCTTCGTGTTTGTTTTGTTTTTGTTTCCCTTCGTTCTGTCTTCATTCTGTCTTCGCTGCAAAACGGAATCAAAACGAAGACGATCCACGAAATTGCCAAATCTCCGTTTAGCTCGAGCCCTGGAGAGACATTTGACTGTACCCCTCCCCTTTCCCCTTTCCCCCCCCACCACAGGGCCCCAAAAAATCGTGTTTGAGGAGGGAGGGGGGTTCGGGGAGGGATCCCCGAGCTCGTGGGGGCGGGGGGGGTTGGGTCCTCGAGCTCATGAACGCACCGAAGATGGCCCCCAGAACACCCAAGATAGTCTCAAGACGGCCAAAGACGCCGAAAGAAAACCCCAAGAGGACCCCCCAGAGGGCCTCAAGAGGCAGACGATGTTGACTTCCCATGATTAGTTGTACTATGTTCGCATTCTCGGCTCTCTGGCGTCTGCACGCTCAAGACGGCCCAAGATGCCCCCCCAAACTGGCCCAAGCCAGCCCAGGCGACCATCAAAAGGCCCATGCACGGCCAAGGTGTGCCCCAAGACGGCCCAAGTGGCCCGCAGGACGGCAACGAAAACTTGAATGTGGCCCCGAGGGAGGCCCATGAGGGGGAACCCGAAGAGGCCCTTGGAACTCGGCCCCAAGGATGGCCCCAAAGACCTCCGGCTGGGTCCAAATGGTCCCCCAAAAGCCCCCCAAAGGGCCACCCCCCCCGGCAGCCTCCCTCGACAAAGCTCCAAGAGGCCACCACTTGGGCCGCCAGCAGGCCCCGAAGATGCCCCCACAAGCTCCAGGAGTCTTCAGCAATTCTCACATGAGACCTCACAACTGCTCTCGATTATCCCTAAGGACACCACCCAGCTGCACGAGGGGGGCCTCAAACAAAGCCTGGAGAACATTACAAGCCGTCACGTCGTCCTCAAATCCCAATAAGATTGTATAACGCATCCGCAACATCACTCCAGGACTCAAACCGCGACGTTTCCACCCCAACCCCTGCCGCCGCTGCCGCCCCTTGTAACATCACTTCTCGCCAGAAGATGGCAAACAATACGATCGAGAGGCGATGGGGGAGACGGAGGGGGGTCTCAAGGCTCCGCGGCTGACTGCGCCATGTGGAAAAAGATGTCCTGAATATATGATCTGCCAGCAGAGCTGCTTGCCGATTCGTCACGCACGACAAAGTCCTCTGCATGATGGCCTGTGTGATGATGCGGCACGCCTGCGTTCGGGGCGCCGACCGTGCATGCATCGGAGGGTGCACTTCCCCGATGCTCATTACTGTGTCTCATGATCACGCTTCCAACAGACTGGGACAAACATGAAACAGTCAAATCGGCAAGTGGACCTAAAGACAATGCTTCAACGCATCCAGGCTGGGCGCGTACCAACTTTTCGGGGCAAGCAGACATGGCAGCGCAGGAGGATACTGTGGGGCCAAGTGGAAGCACATGGTAGCGCGTAGAAACAGTTGAAAGCAAACCGACAAACAACAAAAACAGCAGCAGCAGCAACAACAACAACAACAACAACAACAACACCAACAACACCAACAACAACAACAACAACAACAATCATTTTACCCGAACGCTCAGTGTTCTCACCAGTGCCAGGGTTTTCATGCGACGCGAGACAATACCCCCACTTCGTGGGGGGGCAGTTCAAGCTCTACCAAATATCCAAACGACTCTTCGCGACCACCCAAACCCAGCTTCCCGCCCTATGACGTTGGGACACTTCACTTCGTGGCGTGCGGACGACCGTGGCTACTACACTGGCGTGGGGTACACACCCACAGAACTTGGTCACTTATTCGGGGCGCGCGTGTGCCCAGCATCCTGCAATTGTGACATACAATACATGACACAGACAGACAGAGAGAGAGACAGAGAGCAGACAGAGAGAGAGACAGAGAGAGCGGAGTTGGTCACATTTTTGGGGCAAGTTCCTGAGATCGTCGTGTTTTTTGTTGGTCTTGCGCGCGCGAATGTCCACTTTACTTTTTTTTGCAAGGGAGTATTGAAATTTGATTATGTTAGAACAAGAAAAAGTAGCTCGCGCGAGCTCATGTAACATAAATGTTGAAAAACCATTGGTTTTGTGGGAGTCGGACAGCGCGCGCGGGATGAAATTTGGACATTTTTTTTTGAAAAACCATTGGGTTTTTGATGTTTTTATGTTGAAATCGTTACGAAACCTAAGGTTCTGGAAGGATTTCGTCTTGCGCGCGCGAATGTCCACTTTACCTTATTTTTTGCAAGGGATTATTGAAATTTGATTATGTTAGAACAAGAAAAAGTAGCTCGCGCGAGCTCATGTAACATAAATGTTGAAAAACCATTGGTTTTGTGGGATTCGGACAGCGCGCGCGGAAGGACATTTTGACAATTTTTTCTTAAAAAACCATTGGGTTTTTGATGTTTTTATGTTAAAATCGTTACGAAACCTAAGGTTTTGGAAGGATTTCGTCTTGCGCGCACGAATGTCCACTTTACCTTATTTTTTGCAAGGGATTCTTGCAATTTGATCAAGTAAGAACAAGAATTTTCATTTTCTATTGTTTTTTGCAAGGGAAAACGAGCGTCAACAAAAAACCGGATCCGGAGCTCATCCACTTTTCTGAAGCTTTCGCGAAAAAATGATGAAAATGTAGCTGCGGCCTAGGCGCGGCGCAGAGGTCGCGCACCAGGGGTCCCAACAATAATAATTCTTTAGAAGGAATAATGTTCAACACCAACAACAACAACAACAACACCAACAACAACAACAACAACAACAACAACAACAACACCACCACCACCACCACCACCACCAACAACAACAACAACAACAAGTGGCAACACTTGAAAGTAAGCGGAAGCGGGTTGAGGGGAGTAGCAGCACGCGGAAGCAAGCCGAAGCAAATGGGGATTGCCAGGTCCATCGACGCAGCAAGACCAAGCCAGGGCGAGCGACGCAGCAACAGTGCGCCACCCAAACCCTCAAGAACGATGGGGCCCGTCGGGGCTCGCCAGGGCTGACGACGCACACAAAAACCAAATCGAGACCGGTGACGCACCACCGCGTCGCCAAACAGACTCACCAGCATGCCAGGGCAACGGAGCAAGCCGCCCAGGGGGGTCATCTGACTGTGCATGCTTCGGGGGAGGGGGGCCGAACGCCTGGCCTGGCACGCGAAAGAAGCACAGCGACCTCGCGCGGCGGCGTGCGCAGGCCGCAAAAGCACGGCATGCGCGCACGACCTCCCGCGGGCAGCTCACGAGCGAATGTCCGCGCAGTCGGACACCCCCTTTCCTGCGTCGATCACACCTGGAGCGTGCAACGCTGATCTGCGGGGTGCACGCGTGCAAGATGCACCGCGGCAGGGCTCAGAACGGGGCACAACACCACCGTCGCCGCCACCCTGGGCCACCCCTGCAAGTGGCGGTGATGCTCGCTCCTCCGAGGCATGCGACATGGCCAAGGGCTCCTAAGTTTGCGCTTTGCGCTGCGCGAAGCGCGAGGAACGAATAATTTCGCGCTCTCGAGGACGCCCTTGCATGGCTCTCCCCGCCCGCGTCGGTTGTCGGGCCTCTCCCCGCGCACAAAATCCGATCGGGACGATCCCTCCAGGATCCGTCCGGGACGATCCCTCGACGATCCCCAAGGCTCCCCTCGCGCATGCCCTCCCGCCCCCCAGTGTACGCGCCTTCCACAGGACCAGACATCCTCCAGTGAGCCAAGCAAAGTCGAGACCCATGGCCTCGTGCATGCGGGATCTAGATTCTATTCTGAATCGTTCTTTACTGGCCCTGGAGCACGGGCAAGACCCGGGGAGGCCGAAACGGTGCTGGAAACCTGATGCCCTGTTCCCCTGCTCTGACCTGCCCCTCCCCCTCTCTCCGCTGGCGCCAGGGCAAGCGGGATACTGCAGCCTTCATCGATATGGTCGTCCTGGACGGCCCCCTGTTCGTCACGAAGTCCTTGCGGACGATGAGCCCCTGCTCGGAGAACTGGTTCCCTACGGCGTAGCTCCTCCGGCTCTGACGGCGCGCGAGAGGAGCGGCCTTGTAATGAGGCAGGGAGCTTCTTGGGAGGGTCCAGAGGCTCTTAAGCACACCTCTCAGGAGAAAGGACACGTCTCAGTAGACGAAAGAGTTCTGACCACACCCGCCTCCTGGAGGTGGTAGATTTCCCCCTCCCAGAGTCAAGGAAGAAGCACGCGCACAACCATAAGTGTCCGACGGTCCGCGCGGATTTCTTCTAGGGCTCCCAACTTCGCGCTTCGCGCTGCGCGAAGCGCGAAGCGCGAATAACTTCGCGCTCTCGCGCCGCCCTCCCAAAGGGAGAATAGGAGGACGAGGAGGAGGGGGAGAAGGAACGAGGACCGCGAAGCGCGAAGCGCGAATAACTTCGCGCCCTCGAGGGAGCCCTTGCCTTGGCACGCGGAACGCGCCAGGGGCGGCGCCAGAGGCGTCGGAAACCCCAGCGCAGATCCAAGAAATCCGCGCGGACCGTCGACCTTTCGTCTTTGCGCACCTGCTCCTCTCCGACAGAGGAGGGGCAGGGAAACCACGTAGACGCCCCAGGGTCTGTTGCCGAGTGAAGGATTGCAAAAAAAACCCAGGATTGCAAAAAAAAACCCTTGAACGAAGGATTGCAAAAAAACCCTTGAACGAAGGGTTTGTTTGCAATCCTTCGGTTTTTTTGCAATCCCTTGCTTCAAGAGGTGGACGTGATTACAGCTCGGGCTCCGACTGTCACGACCACCATCTCAAAAGGCCACTGGCCTCCCCCCACCTCGTTGTGCGCGCCGACGGGATGCAGCATTTGGCCGACTGCAGCTGGCGACGCGCACACGCCGCCAGGAGCTATCCACATCCACAGCTGCCCGAATCCTGCCCTGGGCCCCTGGGTAACGATAGATATGGATCCGCCACCGTGCTCCCTGGCGTGAGGCGCGGTCGCAAGGAGAGAATCAATCTTCTGAGGGTCTACGCGCCCCTCTCGATGCGCAGTGGTGTGTCCATCGCCCCCCCTCCCGATCCCCCCCCCACCCCTCCGAGGATCCCTGGGCCGCCAAAGACCCGCAAAAGACCCCCACGACGGCCATAATGGCCCCGAGACTGCCCGAGATGGCCCCGAGACTACACCCTGCCGATCATGATGTCCTGGCAGATTGGGCATCGTTCCCTCGTGGCGCCCGTCTGGGCGGGGGGGGCAGGTTGCGGGCTCGCCCTGGCCACGGCGGCTGTCAGCTCGTTGTGCACGAAACGCCCCTGCTGCCCCCCCTCTCTGATGGAATCCTGCATGAGACACGCGAAGTGTCTTAGAATGTCCCCCAGCGCGCCGGCGCTGAAGGGTTCATATACAGGAAACGCCTCGGCAGGCATACCTGTGGCCACTGTTGCGAAACTCACGAGCTGCGCGGGCGATGCCACCGCGGCCCGTCTGAGCCACCTTGCGACAACGTCGAAGGGCCCTCTGTCAATGTGTCTCCTCACGAGCAGCGGTCGCAGCAGGGAGCGATAGTGGGGGCGCAGGGTGAGCCACACCACTGCCGAGAGCCACTGGCCTTGATTTGCGCCAGGGCTCGGGATGTCCCTCAGCATGTCATGTACCCTTTGCGCCGCGGCGCCGTCCACCGAACCGTCGTCATGTAGCGCGGCGGGTGGAGCGTTGGCGTTTTCGTCGGTTTGGTCCCGGCGATCTAGTGCGCTGGATGGTCAGGTTCGTGCGCCATTCGGGTTGGTGCGGGATGGGGCGTGGCAGAATCCGCACGCTCGAGCCGATGAGGATACGGTGGTCGGCGTGCGAGACGGCGCTGCTGTCGGCGTCCATGCGTCGGGCCTGTGGAGGTCCCTGCGGTGCGGGCGGTTCTCGCGCTCCGTGAGGAGGCGGCGCGCCTGCTCCTTGTGGCCCCAGCATCACGTCAGCTTGTGCCTATCCGTGCGGGTCCGCGAGGTCGACCAGGTGCCCCTGTAGCCGCGCGTGCAGGTAGCCCCACTCCTGGGGGGCGGGAACGTTCAGGCCGCTGCGCTGCGAGAGTGCCTGCGCCTCTCCTCGCAAGATCCGGAGCGCGTCACCGCTCGTCGTCACGTTCCGTCCTTCCCACCACTCCACCATAGCCTGGAAGCCGTTGGGCGGCACTCCCGCGGTCCGCAGTGACAGTCGTAGTGACTCTCTAGTGGCCTCGACAGCTGACAGCCAGAGGAAGGGGACCAGGTATCCGCTCCAGGTGTAGTTCTGGAGAGCGCGGTTCGCCATGGCCGACCTCACGTACGCAATCTCGTATTGTATGGTCCGTGTTAATTGTCCAGCACGGTTGGCGAGCCCGTCAGTCGTTCCTGCGCGTAGCCTGTCGCCTTTCTATGTCCCCGGTCATAGGCTGAGTCCATGGAGTGTCCCGCGTCAACTTCCATGGGGATCGTGGGCCCAGCGCTGTTGTTGTGTGCTGGGGCTCCGTGCGCGCTTTGGTCGCAGGAGGTGGGGGCGCGCGTGCGCTCGGCCCGCTCACCCGCAGTGGCGGGGGCCACGTCCGCTGCGTTGCTACCGGCCCGCGGTGGCGTGGCGGTCGTTTGGCCCGTCCTGGCGCTTGTGGCGTCGGCGTCAGCGCGGTGCCGTCTGACCATCATGCGCATGAACGCTCTGCCCAGCGGAGACGTGGGCCGCAGGTTGGCAATGTCGTGGCGACGGTCCTGTTGAGCCGCTGCCGTGAGGGCTGCTATCCCTTCTAAGGCTACCTATTGCTCCTCGCCGGTTTTCCGCCCCCGCATTGGCGCCGCGCGAGAAAGAGGGGGTCGTCGGGGTGTTCGGTCTGGCGTCTGCTGAGACCCGCCATGTGGACAATCCAGTCCACGTCCCTGTCGGAGAGCCCGAAGTGCACAAGCCTGGCCATGCCTCCTAGCTCGCTGCGGCCATCGGCTTGCGCTTGGTCGTCGTTGGTGCCTAGGGCGGGTGGGATACTCTCGTGCGCGGTGGTGATGGCTCGTGGTAACCATTCTGCTACCTCGCGGTTCCTCAGGGCCTGCGCTCGGACAACGTGGGCAAGGTCCGTGGCGCACCGCAGGTTTGACCCGCATAGCGCGGAGAGTGCCGCCGCGGCACCGTGCTGGTGGTCGCTCGCCACGGGGTTTGCCCATGGGGAGTCCTCCGAGTCAACCACCCATGTCCAGGCTAGGAGCAGCTCCCCCACGAGCCACGAGGGAGTGCAGGCAACAAGTTGCCCCTCCCCTGGCGAGCATAGCGGTGCGTAGGCCTGCGCTGCATGCGCCAGGGCTGAAAGGGCCGCGCCGCCCAGACAGTCGAAAGGAAGCCTTTGTATCCAGTCGCTTGGGACGACTTGGACAAGGATGGTTTCGTCGCCGTCGGCTAACTGCATGGCCACGCGACCGAATCTAAGGCAGACCGGGCACATCCCTGCCAGGGGGCCCCCTCGGAACTTCCAGGGGCCGCAGGTGCCGCATTGGGCCTGCATGTGCGGGTTGAAATCATGGGGTAGCACGAGGGGGGGGGCCCTTCTTGGCCACGTAGCCGCGACTGGTCTTGTCGTGGAGAGACGCATGTCTCCAGCTCCGTCGCTGTCGGGCATCAAGAGGGGCGCGCCCCCTGAGCCCCGCAAGCCCTAGGGAAACCCGCAAGTGACGCGCCGATGGCGTCCACCGCGCGGTCTGGAAAGGCGCCCGCTGCTGTGAGTCGTGCCCATGTCAACATGTTGCGCGCGGGCGGGAAGGACATCCTGCCGCGCCTGCCTTCCCATATGAGCGCAGTTATGACCTGCGTGCGGTCGGGGGGCCCTGCTTCTAGTCCGGCCAGGGGGAATAGGTCGAGTTGTTGTCCCGCGCGCTGTGGTGAAAGCCCCATGTTGAATTGCATCGCAACCTCTTCCATGGTTTGCGACTGGGCGTCGGCGATGCCTAGTTCCGCCCGCGTCGCGGGGGGTCGGCCAAGCTTCAGGGCGCGCGTGCTGGACAACCAGGTGGAGGCGCGCGAACCGTATCGCGAGGAGCTCGTAGGCATGCGGCTCTGTCCCGCCTCGCCGCGCCACGCGGTCGTGGCCGCTCAGGGACCAGAGGGGCCCGGTGGCGTCGGCTGCGCCCAGTGCGCTCGAGGGTGCACCTACTGCTGTGCTGGCGGGGATGCCGCTTGTCTGGTTTGCCTAATAGCCCGCGCGTGGGTCGCCATATTGCGGTGGGTCTCGACGGTATCTTCCCGCAAACCAGTTCATCATGTCAGTGAGGGCTGCGCTCTGTTGAGGGGTTCGGGGGCCCATATAGCAGGTCGTCCTCGTCATCGAGGGGGCCCCACTGCTCGAAGTCCCTCAGCCGTCCGTGGTCTCAGTGGTCGCAGTGCACTTCGGTGATGGGCGTGAGTGCAGGGCACCTCAAGCACGGCCATAGCACGTCGTTGCCCCGCATTCTCCAGTGCGTGCCAGGGTCGGGGCGCGCCCCTGGACACGGCCTCCCTGGGATTTCGGGGAGATCCGCGAACGGTCGCGGATTTCGGCAGGCAAGCTGCAAAGCGGAATGTTGGGACCTGCATATGCTGCAGGTCCACGTGACACCCTCTGCGGCAGGATCTGCTTCTGGCGGGGGTTCAGAGTCGCTCGTCAACTCGCACTGCACCCGCCGTGATGGGGCAGCGGCGGGGCCGCGCCCCACGTCCATGGAGTGCGTTGCACCAGCGGTATGCGACGCCGTGGGTGTGGCAGCGCCCACGACCACGCTGGGTACGTTTCCTCAGGGTGCAGGTGTCTCGTCCTGCCTGGCAGGGGGGCTGGACGATCGATGCTGATCTGCAATCCTGCCCCTTCCTCGTCGTGGCGGGAGGGGGGGGAAGTCGCCTGGTCGGTCCACGTGGTCGGTCGCCCGGGGGAACGTGGCCGCTGCTCCCTGTCGTCTGCGGTCTACTGTGGCCTCGCGGCCCTCCAGCCGGCACTTCCGCACCAGCTATGGTGCCCAGGCCCCGTCCAGCGACCATCTCCGAGTAGGTAGGGACCTCGGCGGCGCCCGCCCCAAGAACTACGGGGGGGGCCG